CGCTGGGACTCTGAAGATGCATCCATAGGTCCACCGAGCCCCAACAGGGTTTTCCAGGGTCTGTAAGCTGACTGATATGGGAAGCCCGGGCACGGTGTTCTAACCGATTAGACCCAAAGCTAACAAGGGGGAGATGAAAACACTGGTATCCCAGCGACGTGTACAATCATAATATATAACATATATACATGCAGTATATATGTTAGCCTCCGTGGTGGCAGCAGCTAAAGCAGTCTCCGTGGTGTAGTGGTAAGACACTCGCCTGGCGTTCCGCGAGCGCTATGTCATGGGTTCGTATCCTGGCCGGGGAGGATTTACTGGGCGCAATTCCTTAACTGTAGCCTCTGTTTAACGCAACAGTAAAATGTGTACTTGGATGAAAAAACGATTCTTCGCGGCAGGGGATCGTATTCCAGGGACCATAGGATTAAGGACTTGCCCGAAACGCTACGCGTACTAGTGGCTGTACAAGAATGTAACAACTCTTGTATATATCTCAAAAAAAAAAAAAAAAAAAAAAAAAAAAAAAAAAAATATACATATATAAAACATGGTGTCTATTTACTGGAGCCGTGTGAAAGCCAATGAGAGAGTGCACAGTGGAAGGGTTAAGCTGTAGTGTTTTGGACTGCCATTTGGAGGTAGTGAGGTGCATTAACAGCTTGACTAATGCACCACACTACCTGATCTTAACTTATGCCAACAATGGTTGGCCTTATTTTCCTCAGGGTTACTAATTTCCTTTCAAGCAGTTGCATGTTTTGATATGTTTATACTTTGATAGTTTTTTCTTGGGTGGGCCACAGAGGGCTGGTGTGATTTCCTAAGATGTGGCGGCCCAGGTGCTATAGCTACTGGGAGCTACCGAGGGAACCATCCCACAGAGATCAGTCTAAATCTACTGAAATTTAGATAAATATTGCTACATACAAATTAATATTGGCTTTACTATAATTTACCTGAAGAGGGATAAATATATTTAGCACCGAGACAAAGCAAATTAATAACAATGAAAGCCTAAACAAATGCAAAACTTTTTTGTAAATACCTTGGGAATCCAATGATCCTGAGAAAAATTAATTGAAGTCTTTTAGCTAAAATTTCATAACTGTTGACCTACATAACAGTAACACCTATGAGATTCACATTGACCATACACTCCTCGAATTTTCCTAGAATCTTAGTTATTCAAAGCAAGTTCTAAGAGAGCAGCATAATTTTTCTCTGTGAAGAGGCGTTTCACCTGTCTATCCTAATGGGTAGATCTAGATTAAATGACATAACCTTTGAGAGTTATGTCACTCATACTTCAAACTCTGCAGAAATTAAATACAAAATCTAAAGGATCAGCAACTGCTTGCAAATGAATACCATAACTTCACATTATGAAATTAGCAACAATTATTAGAAACAATCATATTTCCACTTTAAAGTAATGTAGTAATAACAATTGTGCATGAAGTAAAGCAAGCAAAATAGTTTCTCCAGTTCCCTAAGCCAGGCATCTCTACAAACATTATTACATGTATCAGGATACAGGCAAGTTGTTGTAACATTCTTAGCTATAACACTGCCCCTTCCCCCTCCCTCACTCTCTTCCTAGTGACAATGTGTAGGGCTCGTATGGGGGAGGGGGGGGGAATGCACGGGTGGGTGGTGTGTATGGGTGGATGGTGTGTACGGGTGGATGCTGTGTATGGAGATATAGGTGTAGAGTATGGGAGTGGCTGCTATGTGGATGGAGGAGTAAGGGGGAATGCTATGTGGAAGGTGCTATACCTGGGGTTTACCTGCAGTGGGTTCTTGGAGTTCTTATGTTCCCCAAGTCCTGACTTGTGATAAAGTTATCCAACAGGCTGTTGCTTACTGCTCCTCACAGCAGGCCCACATATCCACTACAACTTAGGTTGGTCGAGCACTTGGTGAAAGAGATGGAAGCAGACGAACCAATACAGAGCCCGAAGCCAACCTTTCTGGATTCTTTCCCGGTGAATGGAGGAATGTCATTTGCTTTCTGTGCCTCATATGAAGGAGCCAGTTCTGGCTCTGGTCCCCAGCAGCTCAAATTGAACTCCTGCCACTGATGGGCCTTGTAGTGTGGAGTAACCTCAGTAATATAGCTACAGGGAGCCACTTTAGGGATCCCCCAGAAAAAAGAAATTTCAAGGAAGGGGGGGGGGGAGGAGTGGACTGGAAACAAGACAGGAAATGAGGCCATGCATAGAGAGTGAGTCACTCCTATAGCCCCGTCCAACAATGTGTGCATAATTATGTAGATTAGAGGGTAGATGGCTGAACAGGATCCTGGAACAAGCAAGTAAAACCCTGGAATACCACCTGCAAGGTTAAGGAATATCAGGTCCAAGCCTGTCAACATTTGGAGTCTATAGCAAGAGGGCTGCCAGGATGAAGAAACCCAACTAGTACCAGCCTTCAGTGATAATCCCTCTAGCTTCACAACACTAAGATTGCATTGGTGGAGGGTCCACTACTTCTGGAAGAAGTCAAAGAATCCTGTGACTAACTATGCACTCCTGTATTAAACAGGTGGGATTACCATCCCATAAAATACCCAAAGAAACAGTTGAACAAAACTTTAGAAATCTCTTAAGAAAAAGAAGTAAAAAATGGAGATGGGCCCAAGCCACATCCCGAGCTAAACCTTGCCCCAATTCTGAAACCCTCAGACGCTTTAGAGCCAGACGCAGACGGGAAGGAGAATGGTGAACCAAATCGTCAGGAAGAGGAACCAAGGTCGAGTTAACCAACAACTCAATTCCAAGTCCGTAAAACTCAAACCGGGCAGATTCGGGTCAGCCAACCTGGCATACAATCTAGAGTTGCAGGACTGAAAACTTGTGATGCAAAACTGCTTGAAACTTCTGGGCTTCCACAAAAGAATGGGTGATCATAAGCACATGGGAAAAACAAGTCCCGCATGACTCTGGGTCGTAGGTGACACCGACCCAACAAGCAGCATGGCGAAGGCACAAAGAATGAATGTCCCCGAGTGACAACGGCAACGAACAACCCTTAAATTCACACAAGACAAAAGCAAGCTCTGAAGAGGTAGCCATGGTCCAACCAAGCCCGTGAGGGTTTTCTGGGGCTTGAAGGGTGAATGAGTCCTGCATGAAGCCCCGGCACTGAGGTCCACGACACCGGTAAGCCCAGTTGATACAGGCAACCAGACCATCCAGTGCCAAAGGAAAAGTCCAGGGGGCAGCAAGAGGATTACACCACACACACTCAAGGCTGGCCAAATAAAATAAAAGGCATGACCCCTTAGCTAAACAGCAAATTAACACAAAGTTTATATAAAAAAAACTAGAACGGTGAACGAGCAGCCTGTGAGAAATATCGGTGCACCCGTAAGCAACTTGTGGAAAGTGCAAGCTGTGCTAACTGCAGTGTGCCCCACCAGCCAAAAACACTCCCAAACCTCATGCAAGACAGAAAGCACAAGACCCCCAGCTTACCTTAAGAGCAAGGACCACCCAAAGCAATGAGGCTCTCCCCTCTGAAGAGAGTTTCCTGGTCGCTCCAGGGAAGACAACTCTGATCGTGCCAGGGTAGTACTCACAGAGGACACAGGGAAGGAAACCCTGAGCTCGTGCATATCTAGCACATTCTGGCTCCTGGCTCATGCACATTTTTGGGTAAAACACTGCCAAAAAGGCAAGAAAACACCAAACAAAAGGAGACAGAGGAGCTAGAGCAACAGGACTGCCAGGTAAGCACATCAGTAAAAAACTGAAGCCAGTTGACCCAGCCTGCCAGGATTGGCCTCCCCCAACAAGGAAAGGGGGTGGAACTAACTAGCACCAGGCCAGTTTCACTAAGTTTTGGCTGTTTTCCTCTTCTTGAAGTTATTTTTTTTACATTTTGGGGGCCTTGGTCTCCTTTTTAAACCATGCAGTGGTTTGTTTTGATTCGCCTATCTTTCTGGTGCCTTCCCAGGTGATGGCAAAGATGATATCCTTTAAATGTAAAGTGATCATAGGCCATCACTCCCTTCAGCTCTCTGAGGGTCCAGGTTCTGGCTCGTGGTTCCCGGTAGGCAAAAAGATCTCCGTAACTGATGACACTAGGTACTGTAGTATGGCACATAATCAGTGATGATAGCTTCAGGGAGCAGACGGGACTCACCAAAGAAAACCACGTTCAGAGCTCACTACCAAACTTGAGCATGAAGCTGGGCAAGAGAAGAGGCAGGAAGTCAAAATATAGAAGATGCCTTCAGAGATAGGCATGGACTCTGGATCGTCAAGTCTCCTCTGCTGGGGCAGCCCTTACTGTCCAACTGCCTAGAAATAGTGTGTTAAGTAATGAACTGCCCCTTTCTGGTGGTGCCTTGTTAGCTCCATAGTTCCCTCTCTTACTCAAAATGTTTGGAAAACTGGATCCAAAGTGAGATGGCCTCCTCCTGTGATCATCTGATTAGGAACGTCACCTCCTGATGATCACCAGGGTAGCCAGGGGGCAGTACTTTACTTAATGCCAGAGGAATGTTTGATTGCATACTTCTGCCAAACATCTGCCAGAGGGAGCTTGAGTTTTGTGAAGCTTTGTTAAGTTCCATCACGTAGATTACCTTTATTGTGTGATTGACCTCTGATTACCTCAAGTTGCCTGGTCTCTCTGAGGAGACCAGACAGACACTGTCCCACTAAACCCTAACATGACTATAGTGTCCTGAGAATGCCAGAGCACCAGCTCTGCAAAGCTATCAAAGCACCTCAAGAAAATGGCCGTTTCATTACGCACCACGTTTTTCCCTCCATCTTTTTAAATGGCATAGATGATTGTGTACATTTTCTTATATGTAATAAGTGCAAAACATGTAAAAATGGTTTACCTACATATCTACTCTAACTGAAAACAAACTTTCCAGAGGATACCACGCCCAGAAAGATTAAAATAAACAATAAGTAACAAAATGACAGGCAAGACCTAAAATACTGGTAAAGTTGAGCACCAGACCTATAACAAAATGTTACCTGAGAGATAATAGTTTTCTTGATGACCATTCCTGCCATTGCTGCTTCTTCTGCCAAGTCTGTGGGTTGATCAACATCCTCTGGTCTGCATTTCAGAGAAGCCAGCTTGATCTCATCACTGCTGAGTACTGTGAGTGTGTCTTGTAACATGGGCAGGCTACTCGGGGTCAGCTTAATGCGCCCGTCAACCACTCCACCTGCACCAATATTTCACGCAAAATTGTATCTCATAATAAAATTAAAATTACTGTATGTATGTATGTGTATAACCATTTACTGTATATCAATTAATATACTAGACAACTATTCACCTTCAACTGAAATAAATACCATACAACAAAGAACTAAGCCTCACGCACACATAAGAAACAAAACTAAACATAGTGTACAAAATTATAAAATTTATAAACAAATTGCAGAGAGGTTTTAACTCTAATCTACATACAGCTTGATCACATTAAGGATATAAAGGGAAGTATCTCTAGAACCTCAACACCAATCAATTAAGGATTGAAAGACCAAGAGCGGTATTTCATCCTTAGCACATACAACTGTGTGAGTACAGAGCAAAAAGCCACACAAGCCTCTTACAAGTGAAAACTCAAAAGGCAGTTCAAGGTCCAGCCGGCCTTATGACGCAGAACTGACCAAAGTCACTACAAGAATCCAAATGTTCCTCACACACAGACATGAGAATTCAAACCGAGAGTGAAACATCATGGTAAACCAAGAGTGAAGCATCATGGTAAACCAAGAGTGAAGCATCATGGTAAACCAAGAGTGAAGCATCATGGTAAACCAAGAGTGAAGCATCATGGTAAACCAAGAGTGAATCATCATGGTAAACCAAGAGTGAAGCATCATGGTAAACCAAGAGTGAAACATCATGATAAACCATGAGTGAAACATCATGGTAAACCAAGAGTGAAACGTCATGGTAAACCAAGAGTGAAACGTCATGGTAAACCAAGAGTGAAACGTCATGGTAAACCAAGAGTGAAACGTCATGGTAAACCAAGAGTGAAACGTCATGGTAAACCAAGAGTGAAACGTCATGGTAAACCAAGAGTGAAACGTCATGGTAAACCAAGAGTGAAACATCATGGTAAACCAAGAGTGAAACATCATGGTAAACCAAGAGTGAAACATCATGGTAAACCAAGAGTGAAACATCATGGTAAACCATGAGTGAAACATCATGGTAAACCAAGAGTGAAACATCATGGTAAGAAATGAATTACAGGAGAAAATGCAAACAAAATCCTAAAATAAATGTGAGAGGGATGGCAAAGAATATTTTTCTGAAGGAGCAAGTGGCTTCCTGTTGCAGTCTCGCTGAGATTGCTCCAATCTACCAGTTGCATGAGATTATTTGGCCTGTCAACGACCAAAGTCAATACCTGGCCCCCTTCACACGAGGTGCAGACAGCAAATGACCTTCTGCCATTTTATCAGGAAAGCATCCAGAAAGTCAGAGAAGCTTTACAGATAACTGCTAGGTTCATAATCCTCAAAAACAATTAAAATGCCAAATAATTCCCCAAACAACACAAAATATCCAAAGAAAACAAACAAAACTAACTAGAACCCGACGGTACTGAACCCTGCACCAGACAGCTTGGCACTTAGTCCAGTGTCAGCCCACAGATCAATTCAAAAGCAGATAATATCGCACTGAAATGATGAACAGAAGAAGAGAGGATAAGAGGCAGCAGACACCAAGTCGAAATAGAGACCAACAGCCGGGAACCCTACCCTTGGAACTGAAGACCAAGGACCCCTCTGGAAGCTTGCAGACTCATTCTTCGCCAGAATTGGAGACTGTTGCAAACGAAGAGAAATGTCCATCAGGGCCAAAAGACTAGAAACCCCTACCTCCAGAGAAGAGCCTGAAGCTTACCAACCTGACAACTGGAGGGAAGCAAGAGTCAGCAAAAACACCGCCCTAAAAAAAAAAATCCCTGACAGAAGGGGCAGACTTGACCCAAGGGAAGAAGAGAAACTCTAAGAGTTAGTCCAGGGACCAAGATGGCATAGGAGAGGCATGAGTGGGCTGGCGGTAAAAAACTCTTGAAACAACTTGCAGACCGAAGATGCAAAAGAATCGACATTAAAAGCAAACAATAGCAGTCCTGCCAGCACCACACAATAAGGAGCGACAGTATTGGGCATGAAATGCCGGGCAAGAAATACCCCATGAAAGAAAGGATAAAAAACAACAGGAACAGAAAAGAATGTGGAGAGATAAAGTGGCAAAATGGCACGAAGCCACTACATACAGTGTTGCCACCTGGAAGACAAACACAGGTGGGAAAACCCAGTCACTTGTGGTCCAGAAAAATGGCAAAATACTCACATCAAAAAGACCTGACTCGAAAAGAATTGGAGACAGTCGAACCAGCAGGGAACATCACCGACTGATTCTCTGAAATAGGTGGAGCCACAGAAAAACACCTGGGTTCGGACACCTGGCTAGGAGCCAAGGCTGCGCCAGCCATCAAGGAGAGAGAGGGAGCACCCATCCCTGAGAACAACTCCAGTCTGGAAGAATCCGAAGCAACTATTGAACTGGGGAAAAAAGAGGTAAATGCATCCAGACCTCGACTAGACCAGCTAAAAAGCATCTAGTGCAAAAGTCTTGCAAGTGGATAATGATACCACGAAGGCTGGAAAGTGCAGATTCCACACTGACATGAAAAGACCCACCTTTGGACCTTTTCATCGAGGGAGGACAAAACTTGAAACCCCACGATACATAGCCGAGACACAATGACACGTGATAAATGGGAGAAATACAGGGAGCCAGATTTAAGCTGAATGGCAAAGCCAGAAAGCGGTAAGCACAAAGCCCCACCACAAAACCTAACCAGTCCCTGAATCCCAGATGGAAAAGTTTATCTGCTGTCCTGGGATTTTCATCTGCGAAGATCTTGGGACATCCAAGCCTCAGGTGGAAAAACAGGTGAACTTGGACAAAAGTGCTCATGTGGAAGGACAGACAGGGAAGCTTTTCCACACCTAAAAGATTGAGAATTAACCGCAGGTCCAAGGAGTCCTTCATGGGGACCGGAATAAATGGGATACCAAACAAAGGAAAAAGGTCGGCGTAACTGTGCCTATGCCCAAAGACGGTACAAGGACTTGATGTAGCAAAGGGGAGGAAAATTTACCTACCAGTTCCAGCCCCAAAAGGACATGAAATCAACCAATTCCACCTCAGGCAGGGAAACAACCTGAAATGCCCATAAATCGTGGGACCAGGTGCTGCAAAGTGAGCGAGATGATCCCTCAAATCATCATCAAAATTTAGCAAAAAAGTCAAAACAAACCACATGACGTGTCATCCTTCTGCAATGAAAAAGATCGGATGTAAAAAAAGAAAAGATGTACCACAATATCCTCAGCAAAGAGGAGAGGCAAAAAAGAGGAAGCCGAGAAATGGGCTAGGAAGCACGCCAAATTTAAAAAGTGGGCAAGGAGGGCCTGCCATCAAACAAGGCAAACCACAAAATGCTGCAACAGCCTCCCAAAGGATGGGGAAAAGCATCAAGATTAAGGCTGCTGCCACTGACACCACAGACGGCAAAACTTGTGCACCTAGTAACAAGCCAAGCCAGTCCACGCTGCAGGAAGCTGATAAGAAGAGATCCATAAGGGCCCAAAACACAAATGCGAGTGCAAGCAAGTCCTGTGAACTTCCACGATAAGGGCAGCAGACAGCACTGACAGCTAAAAAAAAACTGACACTAACCCACATCCCTGCCGAGAGCAGGAACAAGTAAGCAGGTTTCAAACAGAGAAAAAGGAGGGCTGCCCAAGAACCCCAGAAGAACATCCGTCACTTCGTGCAAATCAAGTGTACAAGCACAACAAGTGCTGAACAAATCATCTTAAACAGAGGATTGTCAACCAGCGAGATGAATCCGGAACTTCATAACGTAGCCAAAGAGGTGATGCCGAGGCAAACTCAAAGGATGCAGGGACCATCGTGGAAGCGAGATCTGAAATCTGCAGGAGGTACTGGAAAAGGTCTGCATGTGGGACCAAAACCCAGACTCGGGAAGAAAACCTCTGATAAATAAGAAATTTTTCAATACAAACTTTACACTTCTTGTAATATTTACCAAGAACATCTTGGCAAAGTCGCTGAGTCATAAGAAAACGTTGGTCATCTGACATGTGGTCCAGCATGAAGCAATATATCATGTGTCTTTCTCTAGAGTGCTCCTTGCCAGCAAGGGAGAACAATTCCTTTTCCATGGTAGTCTGAGTAAACTTGTTGTAAGTTTCATGTTCCTGCAAAAAACAAAAAACAAAGTGTTGAATGTAATGAAACGTCATTTTCTGGGTGAGACCCAGATGCTCCCCGGAGCTATATCGGACTGTTGTGTATATATTAGACAGTGGCAACAGTCAATTGAAGGAGTTCTAGGCCTACCGGGCACCAGAGTCAGAACCTGGCCCCCACAAGAAAGGCACGAGGATCAATGGCCTATAAACACCCCAGTGTAATTGGAAGCAGTCTACATTCACCATCTACCAGGTCAGGCACCCAGAAAGGTAGGAATTCCAAAACAAACTACAGCTGGTAAAAAACTACAAACCAAAAGCCGAACTAGCAAACAGAACTCCCCAATCAAAAGCAAGCAAACAAGTATGATGCCACCATAGCTGCCTGCACAACTCCCACCTCCCAGGGAGGGAAATGGGGGGGGGAGGGTCCCCAGACCTCTACGCCGGCTACTCCACCTCAGTTCAGAGGCTGAATATCAAAAATGCCTAATAAAAAAAAAAATGCCGACCGGAGGGAATGAGGGATGCCGGGGAGCCTCAGGGACTCAGCCAGAAAATGGGGTTTCATTACATTCAATGCTGGTTTTCTGTGGAGAACCCCTTCAGCTCCCCAGAGCTACCTAACCAAAGATAAAGGAAAAGAGGGACTTACCCCGGGAGGAGGCCGCCACTCACTCCTCAACTCAAAGTCGAGACAACTGGCTGCAACCTGTGACCCAAGGCTACACATGCCCGAGAAGGGCCAGGAACATTAACGAGGTACCGTGCAGCCAGGACCCTGTTCGACCTCCAAAATCCCCATGCCCGAATGTCAGCCCCGAACATATTACCAAAAACAGCAATCAAAGTCGCGAACTTACGAACATAGTGGGGCACAGGGATAGACTGCAGGCTGACTGGAGGGGTTGCGCAGACAGATCTGCGGCGGTTGTGGTGATGTCATGTTTGCTGGTTTGGCTTTTGGTTTGCAATTTTTGACTGGCAGTAGTTTGTTTTGGAATTCCTACCTTTCTGGGTGCCTGACCTGGTAGATGGCAAACAACGACTGCTTCCAATTACACGGGGGTGTCTTTAGGCCATTGTTCCTCATGCCTCTCTCTTGAAGGGGCCAGGTTCTGGCTCTGGTCCCCGATAGGCCTAGAACTCCTTCAATTGACTGTTGCCATGGTCTAATATATACACATCAGCCCAGTAATAGCTCCGGGGGCCAAAGGGGCTCTCCACAGAAAAGACTAGTTTTTGAAGAACAAATTGCTTAACATAGTTACACACTGAAAATGTTGTATTAAAAACATATAGAAGATCTGAGTATAATTTATAAATAGAATAATCATGCCATTAGCAACAAAAATAAGGCTTTGAATGTAAAGAAATGCCTAATTTCTGAGCAAGCTACTCAAAGGAACATGATAGAAAAGTCACACATAGGGCTGACTGCACTAAGGAGGACCATGAAGGAAATACCAAGGAGCTTCAGTGTGAGGATATCCTCCCTCATATCATAAGTTCATGCCCGTTTATACTGGAAGAGTTGCTTGCAAATGTGGTAGCTGAGCACAACGTTCTCTTCCAATGTGTGTCAAGTTTGGAGTTTACGGATTTGTCATGGGAAAAAGTAGTTCAAAGATGTCGTCAGTGATGACCTCGGTCATCTGGTTAAGTTGCAATGGAGAATGCAGAGATGCGAGGCCAGGGGTAGAGTACCCAAGGCCAGGAGGGTGGTATTTTGAGCTGCAGAGGGCCCCCCCCTCCCTTCCATCGACAGTGTTGCCCCTGGTGGAATGCTGTTGTACTATCGTTCAAGTCAGAGATGAGAACAGGTGCGTGTCAATCAGATGCACTTACAAAGGTGTGTAGGCCTAACCTTTGTGATTGGTCAAAGTGATATTGAATTTTTGTGATAGTTTTTGTTTCATGTGCATGTTTTCTATCTGGCTTCCAGTATGGGCTTAGTTTTGTTGCAATTCAGACTGCATGTACTCTGGGTTCCTTTCCAGGGTGCCCGCTAGCACTGCCCATGCACTGACAAATATCTTATCTGGTGTATTCAGGAGTGACTCATGACTCATCTGTTTAGGCCCTTGTCTGTGGGCAGTCCATTGATTGTGCTGGGACATGTTAGGGCTTGCATGTTTGTTTATACAACATGCCACAGTTGCCAGGCATTTGCACCTGGCATCCATCAGGCCCTGGAAATTATCCCACAGGTCTTTGGCACAGTTGGTTCAGCCTGTTAAGCCTGTAACGGTTCTATTGTTACGTAAAGTATGGTGATAATAAACACAAACACTAAGAGAATATATATATTTAGTCGAGTATACAGAAGTATGCAGGTGATATTTTGGCGAGCAATGGTGTGAGTTGAGCGCACTGAGAGTCGGTACAGTATCTCGCAAGTGTCTGTTCTAGACCACACTTGAAAGTAGACTAGTTATTATTCGCTACTCTGCTGCTTATATGCTCGGGTAACACCTCACCGTTCTCCAAAGGTTGACAGGAATATAGGGAAAGGTCTGAGTTCCATAATTAGTACTAAGAAGAGCTTTGCTTCTCTCATTAGGCTAATGCGTTTGGAGCGAGTATATTATTGGGATAATCTACTCGCTACAAGCCCGCACTTGCCATATGTGTGAGCTTGAAGGGTGCTCAACATCTTTGCAACCAGACAATGGTCATTCTGCCTCCATCATGCTGCTTGCTGGGTTGGTGACACCTACAATCCTGAGTCATTTGTTTCTGTTGAGTCTCTGCTTTGACTGATTCTGCTTCCAGTGCAGCTTTTCAAGCAATTACTACTTTTAAAGCTAGGTATGCTTGGGTTAGGCATTCACAGCACTGTAATTGTCTCCATCTTTAGGGACCAAGAATTGGAGGTGTTGGTGATCTCCACCTGGACTAAGTCCACACCCCCTCTGCCTTCCCCTTCAGGTACGATTCTCCCTGCTGCTGGTCCCCCCACTTTCCCCTCCAGTTATGACTCTGAAATATCCAAGGGGTTTTCAGAGTCGGGGCAGGGTATGGCCCCGACTCCAACTGTGCCTCTGGGTTCATCCACATGAACAGCAGAGGCAGTTGAACCTTCTGGCTCTGCCAAAGTTTTGGGGCAATCATCTTCATATCTCCCCATTCTGCTCCAAGCCTTCTCCCTTGGAGGCCACCTTTCTGTACCAGATGTTAGATGAGGACTATGGCTCTACTCCGAAGCCTTCATGAGAGAACTGGATAAGCACCTCCAAAGGATACCTGATCAACCAGGCTGTGACTCATACGTCAGGCTGCGAGCAGCCGTGTCTAACAGCCTGGTTGATCAGTCCAGCAACCAGGAGGCCTGGTCGACGACCGGGCCGCGGGGACACTAAGCCCCGGAAGCACCTCAAGGTAACCTCAAGGTATGGTAGGTCTCTGGGCCTGAAGAGTGGTCCATGGGTACCTTTCCACCCTTCTTGGACCTAGGTCCCCTCTCCAAAGGGTCTTTTGCTTCAACAGGGCATATTTTCATAACTTTCTTCCGTGCACGAGTATAATCGTTTGGCTTCTCTCCCTCGAGTCTGGTTCCAGGTTCAATTCGGTGCCTCAAAATTGTCATTTTTCTGATGATTTCTGTCATCCTGCATTTTCCCTTTTGGTAGCTCACATGATTTCTGTTTGGAGTGAGGTTGTGTGCTCACAGACAACGCTCGGCCGACCTTGCAGTGTGTGGCGGGTCGCCTGCCGGGCCAGTGAAAGTGTCAATAAATTACTAAAATCAAATGGTCATAACTAAAAGTCCTAAATTACTAATATTTACCTCATAACAGTTGTAGTGGAAAATGCATTCAATGAAGTGCTGACTCAGAATTTTTGGGAAGCGTTTCAGCAAGCGTTCTGTTACATAGAAGATAACGGTACTGCGAATATCTTCCTGATCATCTGTAAGACACTAAAAAATATACCATTATTATTTATGTAGCCAAAGCTTTCATGAAAATTAACAACTCAGAGAGTAAGACAAATTTATAATTTCATGTTAAATTTTCTTCAAATTTTACTTTATTTCCTGTTAGCAACTGCTACTAACAGGACATCTTAAACTGGTCAAAATCAGGTCCGTCTTAACAGCATTATGGGCCCCTGGGCAGACCAGTGTCTTAACAGCATTATGGGCCCCTGGGCAGACCAGTGCCCCTACCACACTCACCGCAGTAACAAGTAAATGGTCGATAATATTAAACATACATTTATTTTATTAACATTTCGCCAAAACTGGCATTAAAACATTAAAAACGTGTAGAGCAGCAATTACTAAACGTGGTAAACACTTGAACAATACACAAGGATTGGGAAACACAATACAGGTACTGTAATACTCAGTAAGCTACACACATTAGATGGCTCTGTATGAAATTACAACAAACTTTATGTTCACACTTTCTTTAGTGCATCAGAGGCAATGGTTTTCAATTCACTGAAGAAAATAGATGTCCAATCTGTGAATAAGCCTCTGCACGTTTTGCCAGTTCAAAGATTAGTGTGTCCAGAAAAGGGAGGAAAGTTTCCACCTTGAATTTTTTGGTTTCAATGGGAAGTCCCTCTTCTGTTGATCCATCATATCTACTAAGATGCACACTTCATTTTCATTCCCATTTTTTCCCATCACTGTAATCACTATCTGGACACAAACTCCTGGCTTTGAATTTATATTTCACTAAATTTGTCTCTAGTTTCCTGAAGAGAGGTTTTCATAGACTCAAGAAGATTCGTGGCAACAAGGATGTTCACATCCTTTGATTGCAGGACCTTGTTTGTTATGTTCATTCTTTTTAGCATGTCATTCCAAAGAATTTAAGAAAGATTGTTTCCAGTTTTTCAATATTTTTGCTCAATCCTTCTGCCTCTTGCCTTATATTCACTCGCTGTTCATTATCAGCTGATAAGAGAATCCAGTGGAAGTTTTATTTTCTTGAAACCCCCATACAGAGCATGAACAGCATCAAAATGTCCTGACCATCGTGTGTCAGTCAGATATTTGATAAGAAAATCTTTTCCTAAAGATGATGCCAATACATTCCAGCGATGATTAGAACCTGCTAAAAATGAATTCAGAACCTGAACAAAGTCAAAGAATTTGACAGTTTGTAGACAAAACACTGCTGCTTTTACTCTCACCAAATTCAGGCTGGGTCCAGAGGCCAGATTCACAAAGCAGTTACGCAAGCACTTACGAACGTGTACATCTTTCCTCAATCTTTCACGGCGTTGGTTACATTTATTAAACGGTTTTCAAGCATGAAAACTTCCCAATCAACTGTTGTTATTGTTATAAACAGCCTCCTGGTGCTTCAGAGCTCATTAACTGTTAAATATTTGTAAACAAACTCGCCAAAGACTGAGAAAAGATGTACAGGTTCGTAACTGCTTTGTGACTCCGGCCACAGCACAGTTTTTTTATTGATGGCAAACTCGTTGAGTTATGAATCCGTCTTTACAATCCTGAGTATCGTCAAAACATTTGAGGCATTATCGCATGACAGACCACGGCAGTGTCATAGTTGAATTTTGTTCTCATTGAGAAAATCCACGACAGTGTCTGGTTTGCTCCATGCGAAAAGATGGGGATGAATATCAAGAAACATTCCACAAGCTCACAGTCGTTAATGTATCAGAGTAAATGTCAGTTGATCTGTGTAATTACAGTATTTAAGTGTAGTAAGTGTAGTTACAGGATGAGAGCTACGCTCGTGGTGTCCCGTCTTCCCAGCACTCTGTCATATAACGCTTTGCAATTACTGATGGTTTTGGCCTCCACCACCTTCTCGCCTAACTTGTTCCAACCGACTACCACTCTGTTAGCGAAAGTGAATTTTCTTATATTCCTTCAGTAGTTTTGTTTAGTTACTTTAAATCTATGATGCCTTTACTATTTTGTACATAGTGATCATATCGCCTCTGTTTCTTCTATCTTCTAGTTTTGGCATATTAATGCCTCTAACCTCTCCTCATAGCTCTTGTCCTTCAGTTCTGGGAGCCACTTAGTAGCATGTCTGCACCTTTTCCAGTTTGTTGATGTGCTTCTTAAGATACTGGCACCAAACAACCGCTGCATATTCTAGCTTTGTCCTAACAAAAGTCGTGAGCAATTTCTTTAGTATTTCGCTATCCATGTATTTAAAAGCAATTCTAAAGTCAGAAAGTGTAATTACCTAAGTGTAGTTACAGGATGAGAGCTACACGTGCTGTCCCGTCTTCCCAGCACTGTAGTGTAGTGTAGTGTAGTGTAGCATAAGCTCTTCGCACGATGTTCTTTATGTGGTCCTCAGGTGATAGTTTTCATTCTAGAACCACCCCTAGATCATTTTCTTTATCAGAATTCTTTCAAGATTTCTCACGTAATTTATAGGTTGTGCATATTATCTTAGCATCATCAACAAACTTGTTCATATTGTTACGGTTATCTCCTGCATAATAGATTCTGCCCGTTTCTTACCGCCTACATATCTGCATGCTCCAACATCAACATCAACAATACGTGTTCAAACGTATGGGTGTCTAGACACACCACCTCCCTCCTCCACCCTCCAGTACCCGTGACACCTGCACCTGTCTTAGTGGGGGACCAGACGCCACCAGCTAACGATCATTTAACTGCCAGCTGATTGTTAAACTCTAGAATTCGCGCCAACTATGACATCATGCCCCATACATAAGAACTTGCCAGCATCTAGCACAGCAGACTACCCTTCGAGTTCTCTCAGCTGTAACATCTACTTCCCCTTCCCCCCAGATGACGGTATACGCACACAGTTTTTTGTGCGTATACCGCATAATTTCACATGTGTATATTTCTCTTTTGATTGTGTTTAAGCCAAGTAGATAAGGGGTTTTGTTTTCATTGTTATCTTGAGGTTATCTTGAGATGATTTCGGGGCTTTAGTGTCCCCGCGGCCCGGTTCTCGACCAGGCCTCCACCCCCAGGAAGACAGCTGACTAACTCCCAGGTACCTATTTACTGCTAGGTAACAGGGGCATTCAGGGTGAAAGAAACTTTGCCCATTTGTTTCTGCCTCGTGCGGGAATCGAACCCGCGTCACAGAATTACGAGTCCTGCGCGCTATCCACCAGGCTACGAGGCCCTGTTATTTGTCAGATTGTGTAAGATTAGTCATTTTTTGTTATATTAAATGTTTGAAGTTTTTATTCTCTTTAGTTTTTACCCGCAGCTCTCACACAGTAGAGGACCCAAGCAGTTTTGGTTACTTTGTTTTTCTTTTGATTAATGTACGATTGGCACAACACCAGCCAGAATAGTCACTGCTCTATTCCAGATTCTCATCACAATATAATTCTGTATTCCATCTGGTACATCGTTAATGTAGACAATGAACATTACTGGTGCAAGAACTGAACCCTGTGGTACCCCACTTGTGACATTCCTCCAGTCCAATACACTGCCTCTGATCACTGCCCTCATTTTTCTGTCAGAAAAGTTTTCATCCATATTAGAAGCCTACCTCTCGCTCCTCCAATATGTTTCAGTTTCCAGAACAACCTCTTATGTGGAACACTGTTGAAAGCCTTTTCTAGGTCCAGATAGATGCAGTCAACCCAACCATCTCTTTCCTGTAAAATCTCTGCGGTTCAATCACAGAAACTGAATAAATTTGACAAAATAGTTATGTAATGTAACCCAAGAGTCATCAACAGAGAAAAGATACCTTATTCACTTCACACAAATATAGTGCTTTCAAGAGTAACAAAGGCAAATTGATCTGCTAACTGTATTTCCTACCTGTAAAATTCTATAGAAGAATGATCCTTTTAGCTTGAGATAATCTTCTTGTAACAGGTTAATGAGCAAAGTCAGTGTGTTACGACGAACTTTAATGTCTGGATCACGAAGGCACGCTGTAACTTGAGGCATCAAAGGATCAACTAAAGTTGCATACCTGTATGAATAAAGTGTACAAATAAACTTACTTTTTTGTGTGTATAAATAAATAAATAATTAAATATATTATTATGAACTCCATATAGCCTCATGATGTAGGCCCCTGCCCCAAAGTGAGTTATTTATTCCTCACTTTGTCCTACAGAGGATCCAGAGGAATGATTTAATACAAGCAATTGTTGGATATGACTGAAGAGGAATTAAGGCGTATATAAGCAACTTTATGGAAACAAGATAAGATGTTGACAGTATGTGACGTGCCGTATGCAAAGATGACATCATCGCTGGAAGCATGACGTGTGCAGCGGGCTTGAGACATCACTTGTTAGTGTGGAGGTCAGAGGGAGAGCACAACACACATCGTCGCTCCAGAGGAAAGAGGATACAGTATTGTGATTTTTGGAGAGGAATCTTTGAGAGAAAAAGTGTTATGAGCAGTGGGAGGACGATTTGAGACATACGTCTCGAATAGTGGCGACGAGGAGGGCGACCTGAAGCCTGTGGGGTGGTCGTTCCTTGATGGTCCACTGTGGGAGGCCCAAGAAAAGGCCTGTGTATCCTTGAAGAGGACCTGTTGACAGGTAGACTAAGTTGGTACCTGTGCTTTGATCCCACACTCAAGTCAAGACTTAGAGCAGTCGAAAGAAGTTTTGTGGGTGACCTGGAAGAGCGCTATTTTGACATCAAACAAGCGTTGCCACTCCTGCAATTTTGCAGTAAGAGCCTTTAATTACCACAAGTTGCCTAGTGCAGAGAGGATAAGTGCGCAGTGATCTTATACTGTACTGAGGTTTAGAAATGCAAATTAATCATGTATGCAGTGATAATGAGATTATATAAAAAAGTTAAGATGAAATAACATGATGAAGGCGAGAGCGACACATGCTTGCACAACGGTGGTCAGTAGTTGACTGAAGGGGGCTCGCCGGCAGGTGGAGACTCTCGGGGAAGGACTCGCCCAGAGACGGGAGTACCTCCGCAGTGCGGATTGGCCGATGACTTTGGGGTGTCGGAGGAGTTTTATTTTAACCATATTATAGTTGTTTATCCACTGTGATGTGCCGAGTTTATTGTGACATTCCCCCTGTGCCATGAAATCAGATGTTATCAAAAAATTCTTTTTCTTTGTAAAATGATAAATTCCCTTTCCTGAACATGTCCATGTAAAAATATATATCAAATTCCACTTACTTTGGCCATTGGGATGTGAACAAGGTGCGCTGTGACGTCCTCATGGGCTGGTCACCCGTGTGTGATGCTCCCAGACACGGTTGCACGGGCCATTCAAGACCTGCTAGTTGCCACACTTATATTTACAAATATTATTTCTGTCTTTTCAATGCTTTCTAATGTTTTTTTCATATCATATCTGATGTATATATGTGTCCTGACAATGTATATAAAATATAACGTCCTTAATGTTTCATGGAACTGTGATACATGTCATTAATGTGTCCTCAATAAATGTTTATTGTCGCAATATTACTTGTTCTACATTCACTAATAATATATTATATAGTTTCACACACTATTTACAAAGTAACACACTGTATTACACTCTTAGTACTTAGCAAGCTAGTGATATTCAAAGAGGCAGTCCACGAGACAGAGTGGGACTTTACACTCAACGCATGTGGTACACAGATTTTTGCTTTCTTATTTTTCGTTCCAAGTTCTTGCAAACAATGCACTCACGTACACCTTTGGCCTTAGTTCCTGTAGGTGGTAGGTAGGCAGGCTTGTGAATTGTAAAGTTGTTTTTACCAGCCAGTCTGTTGCAAACTAAATGTGGTCTTGTTGAGGCATAAAAGACTGTCCTTACGCTGTCTTCCCGGCCATACTGACGAGTAATTGCAACACCAGAGCATGACTAAAAATCAAATTGATGGTTTTTTGCCCATTTTCACCAAAAACATGTTGAAACAGTTGAGCATTGTTACATCCACAAGATGAAAGAAGAATTTCCTGGTTCACTTTACACTTTTGCAGACACATTTGACGGCACCAACCATCATGTCACATTTATCTACAAGTCTCATATTTATATTGTAGTCAATGACACAATCTGGCTTATACAATGTTCCATCAGCTTGATACCTCACTGTGCCACTGTCAAGCATTTCACCAGTGTGAATAGTTGACAATATATTGACTTCACGTCTGTCTTTCCAACACACTGTGAACTACACCAATATTATTTTCAAAAACTGGCATTTCTTTCCTCTGTCTTTACAGTGCCACACACGCCCGTGTTATGTTCAAGCAAGAACTTTGTTAGCAAGGGGCTGGTATAATAATTGTCAGTGTACAGAATGTGCCCTTTGTTCAGCAGAGGTTCCATTAGCGTCTTCCCTACACTGCCAGAATACCTGTGAGGATCCTCTGCGGGGATCCACTGTCATGTCTACGTCTGTACCAGAATATAATATCATATCAGTCACCATTCCGGTTTCACAGTCGCACAGTACAAAAATTTTGAGGCCAAAACGGTGCCGTTTCGATGGGATGTACTGTTTGAAGACAAGACGGCCCTTGAAAAGAACTAGGGATTCATCAATGACAACATTCTGTCCAGGTACAAAGTAATCATGAAATTTCCCTCTGATATCACTGAATACTTTTTGGACTCTCCAAAGTCGATCATTTCTATCAATATTTGCAAGGTTTTCAAAGTGTAGGCACCGTAGTAGTATCAGGAACCTGTCTTGTGACATGTACTTGTTGAACACAGGTGATGGACCAGCACATTCTTTGTTCCAATATTCCTGTGTGACGTGCTTCACCGAATGTTTCAGGAGCACACACAGCTCAGCCATGGTGGTGTCCTTCCAACGTATCATACGTGAAGCCTGTAATGTGCCACCTTCAACAAGTTGCCCGGCATACCTGCTGGTTTCGGCAACAAGATGTTGCATGAACTGCTCATCAATATATGCAAGAAAATAATTTATTTCCGTCATGTCGTCACCTGTGTACGGTTACGTGGGTGCAACCCCCACATCATTATGATCAAATTGAGGTTTGTGTGGTACAAAAATATCACAGTATTCCCATACAAATTCCCCCTTTCTACTTGTAGCACCGCCACAAACGACTCCACTACGGGTGCATTTTCTTGCACTAAATCTCCTTTGGGGAGGAGTTGGAGGTCTTCTACCTTGTCTACTAGTAGGGCGAACAGGGAAAGTAGATGTAGAGGCAACACTGTCATCAGTGTTGTCATGAGGGGATACATGATGGCGCTTGGCAGGGCGATCAGCTGACACAGCAGATCTGCACCTGGTAACACCGCGACGGCAGCTGCTAGCACTTGGCTCATCTATGCTACTTGTATCAGAAGCAGCATCACTAAACCCAGAAAATGACTCAAGAGTATCACTTTCGTCAAAAAATGGGAGATGGAGGTGGTGGTGTTGGGGATAATACTGGCGGGGGTGATGACCTGTAACACTACTGTGCGTGCAGCTTGCCCTGAACGATACGCCATAAATGTATCGTCTTCACCTGTATCTATTTCACTTCCATCGGACCCTTGTGTTATGTCTCTATTGGTCCTTGGGTCGTCAATATAATCATCACTTCATCTTCAAACAATAGTTTACCTCCCCTCGAGAAAGCGGTCTTGCAACAGCATGTCTGACAGGCAATTGGGAGCCTGAGGCACATGCGTCAGCCAAGGTTGCTTGATCAGAACTGAGGCTACCCTCGGGCCTGGGCCTACTATGTGGGAGAGCGTTGTAGCTTGATGAGGTCCTAGTCTGCTGCCTGTTCTGTGTCGAAGCTGCACGGTCTTGGAAACGAGCATTCTGGAGGCATTCTGGGATTTTTCTTTCAAAATGGCCGCCGCTCACTGAAGGCCTCAGGCATCCATCTTGTACACAACCAACTGCATGCGTTTCGAATGGGTACGAAATATTCAAAAGGTGTTTTCTCGGTTGGCACAGTTTTCAGTGCCTGTCCAGCAGACCTGGACATGCACAGTCCAGTGGTTAGGGAAGGAGATTATTTTGTTATGATAAACTTGCAGGTTCATGCATGGTATACGCAGTATCGTATATGGGAGCTAAAAGAAGGACCAAATGATGACTGATCCTGCTGTTATTTGCTGGAAGATTAATCAGCAAAGAGGAAGCCTGTTTGCTAACAAGGGAATTAATCTACAAGACAAAATAAAGAGGATTGTTTGGTCATCTGTGTTTGAGAGAGGAATAGATATACGTTGGTGTACTTGACGCAGTGAAAAGAGACAAGAGTATTTATTCATTATGATTATTAATGTATACGTAGAAGCCTAGCTCACACGGTGAAGTGACCGCTGCACAGTGAACTGATAAGAACAAGCAGCAGCCTAGTGAGGAACATTTTGATCAATAGGGATCATATGGAAGAATAGTCTCATTTACTTATATTATCGTCATCTAATTATATGTTGTTTTCCCGTGGTTTCCTGCTAGACAACTCTGTTTGCACTTGTTCATACATACATGTATGTATATGTATATATGTATGGATGGTAGTTCTGGCTCCCAGTAGGCACTGGTGGGTCATGTTAGGCCTGTGTTTTCCAAGGTTTGGATGTAGCCAGATCGCAGTATCAAAAGAGCTACTGCCGGGGGAGGGGGGGGGCCTCCCAGATAGGTAGGAGGGTAAGAGTACCAAGTCTAATGCCTTAGATAGCACAACTCTCATGCAGTGAAAGAAGCAAAATAACTGCTGGGAAGAATGTGGCTACTGTACTGGAATATCCACTTCATAGGAGGTCAATTTTGAACACCCACCTGACACACATATCTGACAAGGTGAAGACAATGTTTATCTTGAGAGCTGAATACTTGGTCGTGTCGAGCATCTTCCCCATAGCAGGAATGATACGCTTAGCTTGGTCCTCATGTTGTAAGCACATCTTGCCTAATGTCACCACAGCAAGTGCCTATAAAATTATTATAGCTCATCATTCAACTGTCTCTTATTTACTGAAAACTAATCAAATATAAATATGCATCACGTAAAATATTTCAGATTTTTTCAAACTAATTACTTAATTACCTTGACCCGCATGGTTGGCGTAAAGGTAATTGTGGCAGGTTGGGAGCTCTGCGTCTGTGAGGAAGGGACGGTTGTGGGGGCGGACTTGTCTCCAGGTTGGTGGAAAATTATACTCTGAAGCATGAGGAACATCCTCTTGTTTACCTTATGTGGGCACAGCATGGAAGTTTCTCCCAAGGTGAAAAGATGCCTGTATAAAGTCCAGCAAAGAATATAAGTTATTTAAAATACATATTCCCCCTCAGGTCACTTCAGGTATACTCATCTAGGGACACAAAGGTCTTATTTTGCTGCATCTTTAAATGCTCCTAATTTTACTTCAATTTGAAGTTTAAACAAAATTTTAATTTTGTGATTCTTTACCTGAAAAGCCTTTCTTCCCCATCTTCATCTAGTGGTTCAGCCTTCTCAAATAAAATATACTTAAGGTGTTCATCACAAGCCTTCAGAAGTGGTGCTGCCCATTTCTCTATGGCATCTTGACCTGAAATACATAAACCTTGTGAGGGAAAAGCTAAGAAAGCAACCTATCCTAACTCAAAACTCTCCTCACTGCTTCCCATCTCTCCCCAGTGAGAGACAAGTGAAGCAGCACTGAGCTAGCACACACTCACCACTCACCATCTCTCCCCAGTGAGAGACAAGTGAAGCAGCACTGAGCTAACACACTCACCACTCACCATCTCTCCCCAGTGAGAGACAAGTGAAGCAGCACTGAGCTAACACACTCACCACTCACCATCTCTCCCCAGTGAGAGACAAGTGAAGCAGCACTGAGCTAACACACTCACCATCTCTCCCCAGTGAGAGACAAGTGAAGCAGCACTGAGCTAACACTCTCACCACTCACCATCTCTCCCCAGTGAGAGACAAGTGAAGCAGCACTGAGCTAACACACTCACCACTCACCATCTCTCCCCAGTGAGAGACAAGTGAAGCAGCACTGAGCTAACACACTCACCACTCACCATCTCTCCCCAGTGAGAGACAAGTGAAGCAGCACTGAGCTAACACACTCACCACTCACCATCTCTCCCCAGTGAGAGACAAGTGAAGCAGCACTGAGCTAACACACTCACCACTCACCATCTCTCCCCAGTGAGAGACAAGTGAAGCAGCACTGAGCTAACACACTCACCACTCACCATCTCTCCCCAGTGAGAGACAAGTGAAGCAGCACTGAGCTAGCACACTCACCACTTACCAAACATGCTCTCACAAACACGAGTGAACAGGTACATTTATGCCTTTAAGTTAACCACACAATCACTAAATTGTCATGTGGGTAAAAGGGGTCCCAATGAACAGGCATTTGTTAAGAGAAGTTTGCCTGAACTTCTTAATTTTTCAAATTGTTTATACTATATTGAATATAAATGTAATTATTGTAAAATGTATATTAGCTGAATTCACACACACCTTTTGCATCATCACCATGCAGACTGTAGCTGAGAAGGGTTATAGTATCTATTATGTGGGATATGAGCTCAGCTCCAACTGAGAAACTGGTGATAGGTTCCAAAAGCTGTTGTTGTAAGGGCTCTGCACGATCACCAGGTACGTGCTTGATGCTGTTGCTTAGCACCTTTAACACTTGTAGAAGTGTATAGGATCCCACCTGTGAGAAAAATGGAATTCTTGGCTTTACCATAGAGTAAAATTATACACATGCAATCTGCAAAGTGCAGCCATCATCAAAATTGTCTAAGAACCAAACAAAAATACCTATATGTATATAAGAGACTCTCTTTATCTGTCTGTCTAAGGATGGAGGCCAGATGCCTCACCCAACCTTGCAGGAGAAATGGTCTGGGGTAAGGGATGGACATAAGCTGGTTGGGGTCACTAGAATTAAAAAAGAAAGTGTCACATTCTAACCCTCAAAATGATTTTTGGCACTGTCCACTGGATACAGCAGCTAGCTTAATATTTCTGGAAATAAAAATGTCAAAACAACATTTTTTCTAATAGTAATATACACCATTATTCACTGATATCGGGAAAATGAACAAAATTTCTGCTATTCATGCTTTGGCTGAAGTAGAATAAAACAAAAAATCCTCCCACAGCTTCAGAAACTCAATGTAACATTGCTCCCAAATCTAGACAATCATGGGACAATATACACAGATGATTTTAATATTAATGCTAGACATATTATGTTGGGAGACGGTACTAACAACGATAATGGATGCAAATTTATAAAATATGTTTGACAATAGATTAAATGTATACAGTATAATATGGACCCCCAAACTCATTTGCTGGGAGGTAGACTTGATTATGTAATGGGGAGAAATCTTGGTTAGCAACCACTATACAATACCTGCTGCCTATAAGGTAGTGTGACCTTCCTAACAGACATCACACACACAAAATAAACAATCTATATGGTTTGCCTAATCACTTCATTTACTGTATTATAAAATGGTATTGAAGTTACATTATAACAAATGTACGGACCTTCGACACAGACCTAGTTGATACAATAACTACCTATTAAGAAACATGGGTGTGTTGGGGAACAAACCTTAAGCCTGTTAGAGGTGGACAGCACCCACTACCACCCAAATGGCTCCCTGACCACATATTTATCAAAGAACGTGAACAAGTAAAGTAGCATAATACAAATGAACTAAATCACAAAAAGATTTGCAATCATTTCTTGTTGCAAATAGAGATGAGAGACATGAGCAATGTAATACAGAATAAACATTGAGAAGAGTTCCTACTCAGTATAAACAAGCAAACACCCTTTCTTAAAGTCTGGGAAAAGATAAAACCCAGCATTAAATGTAATGAAATACATGTATGTACCTCTTTCTGGTAGAGCCCCATTGGCTCCCTGTCTTCCTCTCTTCCTTCCATTTTTGTCATTTTGTTGCAGTGTTATCTGATCCTGAACCTATCTGTGGGCTGATGCTGGACAGAGCGCCAGGCCATTTGGTGGCGGATTTTGGTACTTTAGGGCTCAAGCTAGTTTTGTTTGTTTTCTTTGATTATTTTGTATTGGATTGAGGAGTTATTTGGCATTTTAATTGCTTTTGAGGCTTATGAACACAGCAGTTGTCTGTATAGCTTCGCAGACTTTCTGGATGTTTTCCCGGGGAAATGGTGGAATGTCATTCCCTCTCTCACTTTATATAAATGAGCCAGATTTTGTCGATGGTCCCTGGTTGGCCAACACAACTCATGCAACATATGTGACTGGTAGACTGGAGCCATCTCAGTGAGATAGCTACAGGGAGCCACTTGAGCTTTATCAGAAAGAGGCATTTCATAACAGTCAACACAGGGCTTTTTAGTTTTGAGTATTTTTTCAGACTATTATCGACCCAAAATAATACTTGTACAGTATAAGAATGTCGCATTTTATCTTTTCTTAAATTCTCTTGGGTAATGACAAACATTAATAACCTGTGGAAGCATAATATTAGTTTCCCTTTTTACTATTCTGTGTATATTTTTTAAATATTAGTCTTTTGTAATTTGTAAAATATAGCATAAAGTTTTTAAGCACATACAATAGTTTTCACTGTGATGAGATGGATCACAGATGGTATTAACAGTCACCTCCCAATGTGCAGCCTCAGTGATGTGTGGGATAAATAATCCTCACTTAAATGAACATTTGTATATGCTGCTGAAAAATCTGTGCTGAACCCAATTTGTTCCGGCCATCCAGGAATTCATGAAAGCAAGGTTCGTTAGAGTGAGGATTCACTACTGTCCAATACTGATCCCCCAAAAAATATTTATTGTCCAATATTAATAGAGTGCAATTAGTATAATAATGAAATGAAACTTCCTGAGGGGTCTTCATTCACCCCCAGATCTTATGCACTGGCAACCCAGTACTAATTACACCTTACCAGAATTTCAGACTTTTTCATGGCCTACTGGAGCAGGGACCAGAATATGAGACTTTTTCATGGCCTACTGGAGCAGGGACCAGAATATGAGACTTTCATGGCCTACTGGAGCAGGGACCAGAATATGAGACTTTTTCACGGCCTACTGGAGCAGGGACCAGAATATGAGACTTTTTCACGGCCTACTGGAGCAGGGACCAGAATATGAGACTTTCATGGCCTACTGGAGCAGGGACCAGAATATGAGACTTTCATGGCCTACTGGAGCAGGGACCAGAATATGAGACTTTTTCACGGCCTACTGGAGCAGGGACCAGAATATGAGACTTTTTCACGGCCTACTGGAGCAGGGACCAGAATATGAGACTTTTTCACGGCCTACTGGAGCAGGGACCAGAATATGAGACTTTTTCATGGCCTACTGGAGCAGGGACCAGAATAGCAGACCTCATGGCCTACTGGAGCAGGGACCAGAATATGAGACTTTTTCATGGCCTACTGGAGCAGGGACCAGAATATGAGACTTTTTCATGGCCTACTGGAGCAGGGACCAGAATATGAGACTTTTTCATGGCCTACTGGAGCAGGGACCAGAATATGAGACTTTTTCATGGCCTACTGGAGCAGGGACCAGAATATGAGACTTTTTCATGGCCTACTGGAGCAGGGACCAGAATATGAGACTTTTTCACGGCCACTGGAGCAGGGACCAGAATATGAGACTTTTTCACGGCCTACTGGAGCAGGGACCAGAATATGAGACTTTTTCATGGCCTACTGGAGCAGGGACCAGAATATGAGACTTTTTCATGGCCTACTGGAGCAGGGACCAGAATAGCAGACCTCATGGCCTACTGGAGCAGGGAACCAAATTCACATAAAAGAAACCAAGGCAAAAAGGCCAAAAGAGGGTTGCAATACTCAATACTATTCACCAGCAAAAGATCATCCCGCTGATGGCAGTGCTAGTCAATCATGACATCGGAGCCACCCAGCCCATATTTAATACGTACCTCGGAATTGACCTGGCAGTGTTCTTCAAAGTAGTCTACAGCAAAGGTGGCATCCTTCAGAGTAACATAATTTGTGATGAGTGCCAACAATGTCCACACTTCCTCATTGTTTTCCTTACCAATGTGTGTTCGTGCTATGTTCATTACCGGCAACCTTGAAAACAAAAATTGTTACACATTTTGAGTCTCTGAGTCTAGTTAAATCTGCATAAACCACTATTAATTCTAAGTGGGGGTCTATTGAAATATTATCTTATATAATAGCCAGGCTTTGGGAAACTAAATATAGTTTAATCGAGTGAAGGCACAATCTAGAACGTTATATCTGGCATGTCATATATCACAATGAAAATGGTCATGTAATGAGCATAGAGGGTTCAACAGTAACAGTGGTGACGTGTACAGGACGGTGTAATGACCACACGTACAGGATGGTGTAATGACCACACACACAAGACTGTGTAATGACCACACACACAGGACGGTGTAATGACCACACACACAGGACAGTGTAATGACCACACACACAGGACGGTGTAATGACCACACACACAGGACGGTGTAATGACCACACACACAGGACGGTGTAATGACCACACACACAGGACGGTGTAATGACCACACACAGGACGGTGTAATGACCACACACACAGGACAGTGTAATGACCACACACACAGGACGGTGTAATGACCACACACAGGACGGTGTAATGACCACACACACAGGACGGTGTAATGACCACACACACAGGACGGTGTAATGACCACACACACAGGACGGTGTAATGACCACACACACAGGACGGTGTAATGACCACACACACAGGACGGTGTAATGACCACACACACAGGACGGTGTAATGACCACACACACAGGACGGTGTAATGACCACACACACAGGACGGTGTAATGACCACACACACAGGACGGTGTAATGACCACACACACAGGACGGTGTAATGACCACACACACAGGACGGTGTAATGACCACACACACAGGACGGTGTAATGACCACACACACAGGACGGTGTAATGACCACACACACAGGACGGTGTAATGACCACACACACAGGACGGTGTAATGACCACACACACAGGACGGTGTAATGACCACAGACAGGACGGTGTAATGACCACAGACAGGACGGTGTAATGACCACAGACAGGACGGTGTAATGACCACAGACAGGACGGTGTAATGACCACAGACAGGACGGTGTAATGACCACAGACAGGACGGTGTAATGACCACAGACAGGACGGTGTAATGACCACAGACAGGACGGTGTAATGACCACAGACAGGACGGTGTAATGACCACAGACAGGACGGTGTAATGACCACAGACAGGACGGTGTAATGACCACAGACAGGACGGTGTAATGACACACACACAGGACGGTGTAATGACCACACACACAGGACGGTGTAATGACCACACACACAGGATGGTGTAATGACCACAGACAGGACGGTGTAATGACCACAGACAGGACGGTGTAATGACCACAGACAGGACGGTGTAATGACCACACACACAGGACGGTGTAATGACCACAGACAGGACGGTGTAATGACCACAGACAGGACGGTGTAATGACCACACACACAGGACGGTGTAATGACCACAGACAGGACGGTGTAATGACCACAGACAGGACGGTGTAATGACCACAGACAGGACGGTGTAATGACCACAGACAGGACGGTGTAATGACCACAGACAGGACGGTGTAATGACCACAGACAGGACGGTGTAATGACCACAGACAGGACGGTGTAATGACCACAGACAGGACGGTGTAATGACCACAGACAGGACGGTGTAATGACCACAGACAGGACGGTGTAATGACCACAGACAGGACGGTGTAATGACCACAGACAGGACGGTGTAATGACCACAGACAGGACGGTGTAATGACCACAGACAGGACGGTGTAATGACCACAGACAGGATGGTGTAATGACCACAGACAGCACGGTGTAATGACCACAGACAGGACGTTGTAATGATCACAGACAGGATGGTGTAATGACCACAGACAGGACGGTGTAATGACCACAGACAGGACGGTGTAATGACCACAGACAGGACGGTGTAATGACCACAGACAGGACGGTGTAATGACCACAGACAGGACGGTGTAATGACCACAGACAGGACGGTGTAATGACCACAGACAGGACGGTGTAATGACCACACACACAGGACGGTGTAATGACCACACACACAGGACGGTGTAATGACCACACACACAGGACGGTGTAATGACCACAGACAGGACGGTGTAATGACCACAGACAGGACGGTGTAATGACCACAGACAGGACGGTGTAATGACCACAGACAGGACGGTGTAATGACCACAGACAGGACGGTGTAATGACCACAGACAGCACGGTGTAATGACCACAGACAGCACGGTGTAATGACCACACAATTGTTACCTCCCCCTAATGATACTAGGAAACGGGTAAATGTATATAACAAAAATCAGTGTTGAATGTTATGAAACGCCATTTTCAGGGAGAGCCCCGGAGCTTACCCGACTACGATGTATGTATTAGATTGTGGCATCAATTGATTGGAGTTCTTGCCTACTGGGGACCATGAGCCAGACCCGTGCCCCCCCTCAAAGAGGCACGAGGAGCAATGGCCTATGGAAACCCCCGCCCTGTCTGCAATCGACTAGGGTCTGGCACCCAGAAAGGTATGCATAACAAAAACTCCGTGGTAAAAATTGCTACCCAAACTTGAACAGGAAGGCAAAACTCCCAAACTAAAACAAGCAAACAATCAAACCTCACTAATGCTATTGTGCCGATCATCCGTGCAGCTGAGGGGGGGAGGGAGCACTACTGCATTCAATTCCAAGCATCAAAAACAACTCGAAAAACCTCCGACCGGAGGGAGGGAAGGTGCCGGGGTGCCTCTGGGGCTCACCCAGAAGATGGTGTTTCATTACATTCAATGCTGTTTCTTTATGGGAAGCCCCTACAGCTCCCCGGAGCTGCCTAAACAAAGAAAAGTGACAAGAGGGACTTACCCGGGAGGAGGCCGCCACTCGTTTCTCAACTGTAAGTTGAGACAACTGGCTGCAACCTGCAACCCAGAGTGACACAAACCCGATTAGGGCTGGGAACGTCGGCTAAGCAATGCGCGGCCAGGACCCTGTTCGACCTCCAAAATCCCTGTGACTGAATGTCAGCCCAAGACATGTTACCAAAGATGGCAGCCAAAGCAGTAAACTTATGAACATCATGGGCACAAGGATAGACTGCAGGCTAGCTGGACCGAGTAGCACTGTGGACGACCTGGGAGACCCGAGCCCTGGAACATGAAACAGGAAACCGGGTCAACCCAAAGCGCATCTCCAGTCACAGAGGCCGTGGCGAGCAGGTAACGGCGAAGAGTGCAACCAGACAACACAAATGACGAGCCCCCGGCCTGACCAACCAAGCATCAACAACCCAAGGATCCCTCCAGAAAGCCGCCAACTCATTCTTCGCCAGAAAAGAAGAAGACAGCTGCAAACAAACAAACCTACCGCTAGGACCAAAAGAGCAGAAACCTCTGCGCCTGAGGAGAGCACGGAGCTCCCTGAGCCGACCCCCCCAGAAGCCAATACCAACAGGAAAAGACCCTTGGAAAAACAATCTTGTACAGAAGAAGTCACTACAAACTGAGAAGAGAGAAAGGAGAGCACCCTGTCCAAGGACCAGGACGGCTCAGGCGGCACATGAGCAGGTCGGAGGTGAAACAGCACGAGAAAGCTTACGGAACGAAGCGAGAGTAATATCCACCCCAAACTCAAGCTGAAGCAGCTACACCAGCGCTACATGATACGCAGCGACAGTATTAGGCATCAAATGACGGTCCTGAAAAAGCCAAGAAAGAAAGGACAAGACAACCCTATCCGAAACAGAGGACAACCTACGAAGAGAGAGAAAATGGAGGAAAGGGCGCCAGAAAACTTCACACTGTCACCGAGATAAAGCTTGCAGGTGGGGGATAATCAACGAAGCCACCTGATCACCACACAAGTGGTGATAGACCCGCCTCAGAAAGACCAGACGCGAAGAGCAGAGAGAAGATCGAACCAGTCAGATAACTGACTGGGCCGATCTGCTGAAAGAGGGTGGAGCTGCATAAAACATCGCGGGTTCAAACACCGAGCAAGCAGCGCCTGAAACCAAAGCTAGGCCAGCCACCAAGGAGCCAACAGGACTATTCTTCTCTGGTAAGTCTAAAATGAACCCAGGACCTGATGTAACAGCTGAACTGAGGGGAAGAGGTACAGGTAACCCCACCTCAACCAGTCCTGCTGATAGGCGTATACTATGACGGCATCACATTCGGGGAAGGGAGCCATATACACAAGAAGATGCCGGGACCATGTCAACGTGAAGAGGTCCACATCCATGAGTCCATACATTCAGCAAAGCCAACTGAAGGAGTCAGTATCAACCGTCCATTCAGTGGACAGGGAAATGAACCGAGACAGGCCGGTTCATTTCTCCTCGGACATGAATCAAATGAATCAAAAAACATGAATCAAATTTGGCTCTCCCCCATGGAGAGCCAAACCCCAAGGTTCAAGAGTCCCACGCAATGCCTAGCCAAATCCGAACCTGGGATGGAACTAGATGGGACCTCCTCCAGTTCCCCAGGAACCCAAACCCAGTGAGCTGGGAAGAAACCATACCCCTGGTAAGCACACATGCGGACCAGCTGGGCGCCCACACCAGCCAATCGTCGAGGTAGGACAGAACCCGAACAGACGCAAACGGGCCACCACGACCCGGGTAAGATGCGTGAATACGGGAGGTGCCAAATTCAGGCCAAATGGAAGGCAACAAAAGCAGAAAGCTCGCCACCCCACCACAAAACCTAACCAGTCCCTGAACCCCGGAAAATCGAGATGTGCCAATACGTGTCCCGGAGGTCCAGAGATACCATCCAAGCATCCTGCTCCAAGAGAAGCCGGACCTGCAACAGAGCAGTCATCCGAAAAGAGGGGCAAAAGATCCCAGGGTTCTGGCGGGACAAGTCCAGAATGAACCTCAGACCATGCCTAAGTGCACCCACTCTAGGATAACCTGACGGAGCGCTGCGGAAGAGACCTGCCCCGCTAGCCCCAAATTCCCGGAAGAGGAGGAGCCATCCAACGCCACCACAGGCCAGAAAAGACCTGAAATGCCCAAGAATCATGGGACCAGGTGTGAGCAAGAGTGTTGCCCCCACGGCCCCATCAACGAGGTGACCCACAAAAGCGCCAATGTCCCTTACTAGAAGCCATCTGACATGCTGGAGCCGCATACTCCAGGATTGGTCTGACATATGTGGTAAACAAAGTTCTGAATGATTCCTTACACAAGTTTCTAAAGGCCATTCTTATGTTGGCCATCCTGGCATATGCCACTGATGTTATCCTCTTGATATGGGGTTCAGGGAACATGTCTGGTGTGATATCAACCCCCAGGTCTTTTTTTCTCTCTCTCTCTCTCTCTCTCTCTGACTCTTGAAGTATTTAATCTTCCAAATGATGAGTACAAGCATGGGGGCCTAGCCGAGGACCCCCAATACAAGAGAAGGATGGATAAACCAAGGAGGAAGACCCCCACCAGACAAAATAAACAAAAAGAAAATAAAAGCCCTGTGAAAGCAGTGTCCCTAGGAGACAGAACCGGCCGCTGTGTATAATAGGAGACAAGCTGCACAATACCTTGCTCCCCTACCAGCAACAATACCACTTCCTACCCAAGGCCAAACAGTGCCAACAAAAACCCCAGCTGGCCCCAAGGGCGGGTAATTGCCAAGCAGCAAATGACCCCTATGGAAGCAGTTCCCAAACGCCTTATGGAAGATAACCCCAGGATGCAAGGGCAGTACAGCACTTATAGGGCACTTAGGGAAAGTGGCCCAAAGCGCATGCAGCCCCAGTACTGATGAAGTACTCCTGGCCTGCACATCACACAGCAGAATACACCATAAGGCACAGAACTGTAAGAGTCAGAGGCCGGAGTCAAGGACCGCCACAGTCTACATCAACCGAGGAACTGAATACTGTAGCGGACGGCGCGGGATCCGAGACCCCCCCTCCACTTCCTGGGAGGGGGTACTGCACGGACGATTGGTGCAACGGCGTTAGTGATGTTTGCTTGTATTAATTTGGGAGTTTTGCCTATTTGTTCGGGTTTTGATGGCAATTTTTACCATGTGCGGTTTGTTTTGTTATACTTACCTTTCTGGGTGCCAAATCCTGGTACTCACCTAATTGTGCTTGCAGGGGGTTGAGCTCTGGCTCTTTGGTCCCACCTCTCAACTGTCAATCAACAGGTGTCCAGGTTCCTGAGCCTATTGGGCTCTATCATATCTACACTTGAAACTGTGTATGGAGTCAGCCTCCGCCACATCACTTCCTAATGCATTCCATTTGTCAACCACTCTGACACTAAAAAAGTTCTTTCTAATATCTCTGTGGCTCATTTGGGAACTCAGTTTCCACCTGTGTCCCCTAGTGTGTGTGCCCCTTGTGTTAAATGGTCAATGAGAGACAAGGAATGCTTCCAAATACACGGGGGGTTTCCATAGGACATTGTTCCTCGTGCCTTTCTGAGGGGACCAGGTTCTGGCTTGAGGTCCCCAGTAGGCAAGAACTCCAATCAACTGATCCACCGTCTAATACATACTTATCAGCCCGATAAGCTCTGGGGAGCCGTAGGGGCTCCCCACAGAAAATGCTATCTCTGGGGACAGACAAAACCAGTCTAAATATTTATTAATGGAGTAAAAATTAACAATGGTATTTATTCATGTACAAAATTGGGAAAGCCAACATTTGAATGTAGTATTTATGATGTAGAGTAAAATGTACTCTTGAGGTCATACCTCAAATATTCTGACTTGGACCACATAAGAAGAGCCTTGCTGAAGAACTTGTGGTGACTGTGTTTTGTGATGACACCAAGTATAAGCCACGGAAGTTTGTTCTCAGGCGTGTCTGACTCGGGATGCCCATGAACTAATAAGCGCCTGAACACCAGTTGATCAAGAACCTGTTAAAATAAAATATCAGGAAAAATTATGGACAAAACCAGGATATATAATTTAATTGAAAGTCTAGATTTAAACTCAAAATAATTACTACACATAGGTGTAAAATTGATATTATAAAATACAGTGAGTCACCCCAAACCCCAGGCTAATTCAAGAAAAACTGGTCAAAATTTTTGAAGGACTTACAGATAATGGGTGCTTGGATAATTCTTTTCCTCAATATTCAAAGGGCTTTCAGATGTTCAGTACATTAAGATATTTGGAGCCAAAAGCAAATTTGAATTGGAAATAAACAAAACCTCTCATCTTTGAGAGTTTAGTCTAAGTCTCATTCCTGCTAAGTCCCATTTTTTCCTTCTGCTCCCTGTAGCTACCACCTTGCTTACCACCTCCACACAAGTCAAATCAGCCTTAGAGGCCGTAATTACACCCCAAAGACCAAAACCATAACCTGCCCCCCCCCCCCCAGCTCACAGAGGCTTAGGGAACAGGGGGATTGTTACAATCAACATCAAGAAATTACAATTGTTACAATCGTCATCATCATTCAGAAAGTAAGTGAAGCAATAAAGAACTGCTAGGTTCACAGAAGGAAAAGAAATGAAACAGCAAATGACTAGACAAACCATCAACCCAGAAATTTTGTCAAAGACAAAATTCCAGCCAGGTGACAACCCCAAGGAGTTCTGGCTCTCCATGTCAACAGAGACCAGTGCACAGCTCAAAAAACTGTCTGCCTACAAATCCAAAGGGAAAGAGGGGACCATGGAGCCACTGAGACCCAACCACAAAACCAGCGTTGAATGTAATGAAACATCCTTTTCAGGGCGAGCCCCAGAGGCTCCCTGGAACTATCAGGCTGATATATGTTATATTAGTCTGGGGCTTTAGTCAATTGGTCAATTAGTGAATTGGAGTTCAGCCTACCAGGGACCACGAGCCATAACCTGGCCCCCTCAGAGAGGCAAAGGGAGCAAAGGCCTATGGAAACCCTCATGTATTTGGAGGCATTCCATGTATGCTATCAACCAGGGTTGGCACCCAGAAAGGTAGGCATAAAAAAACAGACCCCATATGGTAAGAAAATTGCAACCGAAGACCGAACAGAGGCAGAAGTCCCTTTACTTAATAATACAAGCAAATGCCACACTCTGCCGCCACACTGCTTGCCTGCGCAGCCCTCCCCTCCCCAGAAGGGGAAGAGGGGAGCGCCGGCTGCCTCACCTTGAGGTTACCTTAAAATGATTTCAGGGCTTAGCGTCCCTGCGGCCCGGTCCTTAACCAGGCCTCCTCATTGCTGGACTGGTCAACCAGGCTGTTGGACACGGCTGTTCGCATCCAGACGTATGAGTCACCGCCTGGTTGATCAGGTATTCTTTGGAGGTGCTTATCAAGTTCTCTCTTGAACACTGTGAGGGGGTTGGCTAGTTATACCTCCTTATGTGTACAGTAGTGAAAGTGTGTTGAACAGTCTCGGGCCTCTGATGTTGATAAAGTTCTCTCTCAGAGTACCTATTGCACCTCTGCTCTTCAACTGGGGTATTCTGCACATCCTGCCATGCCTTCTGGTCTCATGTGGTACTTCTGTGTGTAGGTTTGGGACCAGCCCCTCTTCTATTTTCCACGTGTAAATTATTATGTATCTCTCCCGCCTGAACTCAAGAGAATACAGATTTAGGCATTTTAGTCAGTCCCAATAGTTTAGATGTTTTACCGAGTAGTTTCTAGCAGTAAAGGATCTCTGCACGCTCTCCAGGTCAGCAATTTCTCCAGTTTTGAAATGGGCTGTCATTGTGCAACAGTACTCCACTCTAGAGAGCACTATCTATAGTACTCTCGGAAGCGGTCCAAGAGTCCTATACAAGACCCAGCCAAGTCTGAACCAGAGAGGAAACCAAATAGGACTTCCTCCAGTTCACCAAGAACCCGAACCCAGCGAGCTGGGAAAGAACTAAATCCCTGGTGAGCAGACACGCAGACAGGCTGGGAGCCCACACCAGCCAATCGTCGAGGTAAGCCAGAACCCGAACCCCTAAAAGACGCAAACAGGTCACCACGACCAAAACGGAGGAAATGACCCGAAATGCCCACATATCATGGAACCAGGCTATAGCAAACAGCCGAGCACCCGCCCCCCCATCGCTCCACAAAACCGAGAAAGGGCCAACGACCCCTATGAGAACCCGACAAATGCTCAAAGTGATCACTACGCTGACCAGACGTCGACAGCTTGGTCAGGAGGGGCCGGTCCTGAATCTGGCACTACTGGCTTACAACGACCGAAGGAACCCCGAGACCTGGTGCGACCCTTCCGGGCAGGACCTCCACCCCCCCCCCCCCCCCCCCCGGAGAACCAACAAGTTCGACATAGGTCAGCAACTAGATGAAACTGCATGCAGAAAAATGTACAACTGCAGACTCTGCAGACAGCAACTGGCAAAAGCGGATGAAAATCTAAGAGCCAAGGCGCAAGAAGTGGAGCCAAGAAGAGTCAAGGTTCCAAAGAGTGAACGAGCACTGCCTGTCGGCACGCGAGGCAAGAAACAAAGAACAGAGATACCGTCTCCTTCAGAATCAGCACAAACAACTTCAACAAGAGCTGACACCCAAGCTGCCAAAGCAAACACTCGGGGAGGATGTGGAGGAGCTGGGATCCGAGCCGGACACCTGCTTGGATCCCAGCTCCTCCACATCCTCCCCGAGCCAGTCCAAAGACAGCTCCAGCAGGGAAAAGAAGCGCAAGACCAAAGCCAAATGCCCACAGGCGTGCAAATCCTTGGCCATCAGGGATGCCGAAAGGGAGGGAACCTGCAAGTGAAGCTGCACCTGGCCGACATCATGAGAAAGGACGGGGGCAAACAAGCACACATTGAGGTGCTCAAACTCGCCCCCCCCCCAGGTAAACCCAAACGACTGTGGTCAACTCCCTCCATTCAAGCGTGCAGGTCCGACAGAACGAATGCCAAGCCCCGCCAAAAGGGCAGTCTACCAGCCAGGAAGACTCCGGCACCTCGTAACGCACCCAATAAGGAAAAGATGAGCCAACTCAAAAGAAGTAGGGTTCATTATCGCTGCGTAATCCGAGTCTCGCAGGAGGCAAGCTGCAACAGCCTCTCGCACCTCCCTCGGTGGAATGCGGGAAGCCGAAAACCTCCAGAAGGAGGGAACTGAAGAACCCAAAGGAACCCAGAACCAAACCCAGGGAGGAGTCGAACTCATATCAAAATCATACAGGGAGGAGGGATAGGAAAGCCCCTCCCCTTGTAACAACGAGACCTGTGCCGAGGGTACCAACACCCAAACGGGGTCAAGCGGGTCTCAAACCCCCGCCCCCAAGTCAACTCCTCCCAAGCCCCGGGATCCTCCATGTCAGGCCACGAGGCAGAGCTGTCCTCTAAACCCTCTGCTTCTGGAGAAAAAGCAGAGTCCACCCGAAAGGAAGGGATGAAGGAGGCCAGCTGGCACGACTCAAAAGCTCCGGCAGGAGGAACAGGCTCGAATGCCTCCGCCGCCGATCTGGAAAGGGGGCAGTCAAAACCAAACCCAGCCAAAACTGTGTTGAGTTTGAAAATATACCTGGAAAAAATCATGGTAAATGGGGGCACCTTTGACAAGCCACTGGCTTCCTATCCTTGTCGAGCCCACTAGGGCTAGTGGCCCTCAGGTAAATCAGGTAATTAGCAGAAGTCTTTTGTTTGTGTACAGTATTACTTTTAACTGGATGATAAACATTTTTTTCAGAACATAAGCTTATTAGATTGTTAAGGCATGTGTAACTGAACTACTGAAATGCAGAATAATAGATAACATACTGTACAAGTTCAAATAGCAAAGATAAACATAAGCTAATCAAGATAGTCTCACCTCTATAACACGCTCTTGTACTTTTATCTCAGGGTCAAGCACAAGAGGCAAAACCCCTTTGATCCAGGTTGTGATGACAGTCTCATGTTCGGGGTAACAATTCACAAGAGTTGTTAAAGATGTAATTATCTGTTTCCTCACGAGCAATGCTGGATCCCGACAGTGTTCTAATAAGACCTGAAATGTCACAAAATGTTTTGAGTCTTATCAAGAAATAGAATAAGGTTGCCAGTCCTGGTAATCACTAGCATTTAACATTGTTGGATAAAACTAAACACCAAAATTGTGAAAGTGTTGAAACTTTAAATATACAGCACCAGGGGACAACTGGTATAGTTTAACACCTAAACACACTCAACACTAGTGGTCGTGGTTTTGGCCAAATCAGGTTGATCCATATTGCAGTTTGTACTAGGTACGGTACCATCAGTCGCAGAGTTGTTTTAGGTCTACCGGGGATCATGAGCCAGAACCTGGCCCCCTTTAGTGAGGTGCAAAGCAGTGGCACTATGATAAAACTGCCAGTGAATTTTAATCATGTTTGCACCCAAAAAATCAGTGAAATAAAATAGACCACTGCTGGTTAAAAGGAAGATTGACATTCAAAATTAATAAAAAAATTCCTCTAACAATTTAAACAAATAAAAAATTTATGAAACTATCACAAGCTCATTCACCCCCACCTCATCCCCCCTCATATGGGAGGAGGAGGGAGGCAGACTGGGGTCAGCTGGCTGCTCCAACCACAGTTCTATTATGATATAAAATCCACCACAGACTCCCTGGGGGAAAGAGGGATTGTGGGAGCCACCGAGGTTCGCACACACATTGCCGTTTCGTTAAATTGCCCGAAACGTTATGCGTATTAATGGCTTTAGGAATTGAATGTACTGTACTGTGCTAGCTGTATAAATCCAACATTATGTTTGTAACTCTTCATCTATGTACTGTATGTACTTTTACCTGATAAAAATTTGAATTTGAAATTCAACACTGTTTTTTTTTTTTTTTTTTTTTTTTGAGGGGGTGAGGGGAGGAGGGGGGAGCCCCTTGTGGCTCCCTGAAGCTGCCCACCCCAGGTTCACCCCCTGGAGAAGACCAAGAAGGACACTCACCAGGATGGAGGGAGCACCACAGGTATCACAATTGTGGCGTTTGCTGTGTGAACAAATACTAAATATAGTAATTCATTAAATTATTATATAAAATAAACTCTTTATGAGAAGTATCTCTGTTTCTAAATTAATAATTAACATGTAAATTCTAACTGCGTAGTGAGCCCACCAAGGAGATGCTTTCTCCCTGGAAGAAAGGAAGATGGGGCATGGCCAGAACCAAGGCAAAAAACAACACATCCAATTCTGGGCACCAAAACACCACAGGGCAATTGCAGGACATCTGAGTACAAAGCCACAAACGCTAAACTTTGACATGTGTGTCAATAGACTCCAGTTGTCTGAGATGCTTCCACCAAGAAGCAGGAATAGAAAGAGTCAGAACCCTGCAGTCAATCAGGTGGATAACCCTACACATTATGTCACAACAGGCCTTAGTGTGTCATAAAAGGCTTACTGGAGACCAGAGGCCAAAATTTGGTCTCCTCACAAGAGAGGGATTTTAGATCGGGCATTCTCAACGGGGATGATATCGTCCCTAGGGCATAACCTTAAAATAATTCCGAGTCATGCATTAGATAAATACAGATTTCACCGATAGTTGAAAGGGGACGATTTCTGACTTTGCTCTTGATGCTGGTTAAATGAGAAAAATAAATGCAAAATTTATTAAAAAATTAGCCTATTTATCATTGTCTCTTGTGGAACAGCTAGTTACCTTATTGTTTTTCAGCCGAGGTTAAGAAACACTTTTCTAGATCATCAGGAGCAGGGGATTCTAAATCATCCTGAGAATAATCTCTATTTGCCTTGAAGATTCTAACAAAAACTAGCCTGTCCAATTAGACATAGACCAGAGTACAATATACTGAGCAGTATTACAATTAAATAGTTTAATTCAACTTATTTATTTGAATTAAACAATTTAATTTTAATAAAAATGTTAACTATTAATTTTTAGTAGTTTGAATTAACTACTGCAATTTTTACTCCTCTCCAACATTTAGGCAACCATTAATGTAAGAATCTAATGAACATAGTAAACAAAATAAAAAATATCAAACCTCCAAGTTCTTGTCTGAGAGCATCTCATTATCCAGACGCATTAGATTCTCTAAAGCTTGTAGAGCAGACTTCCGCACGGTCACTTTGTCATCCAGTGCTCGTCTGCGCAACATTGACACAACTCTTGCAGCGTTGGGGAAGTTAAGAGTTTCCTCTTCAGTCATTTCCAATGGTGATTCTAAGTTGATGTTATTATTTTGAATGTGCGGCGTTGCAAACATCATTGGCCGGCTGCGGAAAAAAATCTGTTTCATGGCGAGCATTATTGTAGGGTTGGTGGAAAAGGTGCAGTCGGCCAGAAGAGCAAGAGCTTTTGATCGTACAGTTGCAGCACTATCGCGGCACCTTGAGAAAATGATACTCAGTAAAAATTTATGAGACAGAATATTGCGATCTGGAGGGACTTCCACTGGATGATCTAGAGAAACATTATGAAAACTTTTCTCTGCATCTCCTCCTCCACTTTCGTCAGTCTCGGCAATTGACTTTAGCCTTGATCCAGGAGGGTTATCGTCTACGCTGTTTCTGGGCGTGCCTTCCTCCCTATCAGCCTGGCGTTCTTCTTCCCCCAACATCTTGGAGATCACTTCAAGCATAAACAGCCTATGACCGGCTTTTTCATTGTGCGAGAACTTGAAAAACCACTTCATAAGACGTGTGTAAAGTTGAATGGGAAGATAACGCATTATTTCCACTACAGATTGAGCAGTTTTTTGCCTGAACTCTGCCCTGTCAGGTACACGGACACAGAGGTGTTGAATGAGGACATATACCCCATCGTATGCATCTTCTTTCACCTGGGTCAGTATATATTTTACGAAAATTTGTGAATGGTCCCGAATAACTCCCAAGGAACGAACTGACAAATCTGATGCTCCACGAGATATCATGAGAATATTGTACATGATGTGCTTCATAATTATGATAACTATTTTCTTAACTTTGCCATGAATTGAATTACATATAGACTGCAGGGCAACATAGGCATTATATGACAATGCTGTGACTGATGCAGGTCCATGCCTTCCAATGAATATTCCTTTGGCATTGCTGGTTTCACAACGAGACACTTCAATCAGTATGCTGATAGTCTCGTCCAACGATTCCGGCGAATGCTTGAGAGAGAATCGTTGCGTCAGTCTCAGAAAATCATTAAGGAGAACATTTAATGACCTGATCAGTTTATTTGCTTCACTAGGAGTTAACATTGCAATATCTCCGTCGTCGTCGTCATCAACATCAGCCACGACCTGTTCGTCCTGCGACTTGCGCTGACTACCACGCACCGAACTCGAACGACCTTTCTTGGGGCTCGACACTCCGACTCGCAATTTTGTGGTGAGACGCATGATGTCAAGGGCCTTGAGATACATGACGGGGTGAAACACTCTGAAGGCATTACTGCCGGGGATACAGAGGAGGAGGAAGTAGAGGCTGGCGGCCTGGATACCCAGCTCCCGGTCCTCCTCCCTGGCGTCATACCTCTGCCCGCGAGAACTGTAGTAAAACAACAGCGCCATCACACCCTTCACGTCCCCTGACAGCTCAATCCAGAACCTGGTGTGTAGGGCGGTGTCCTCAGTGGCACTGTGCCCCGACACTGAGAGCCTGGTGTCCTCGGCGAGCTGAGGTAAACTGTCTACCCAGTGGCGACAACAGCTGATGACAGCACTAAACAAACCGCTCAAATTGGTGTTGTAATGACAGTCTTCAAACGCCGAGGGCAGATCCTCCACCTCCGTGAAGTCGGCGTCCATCACGTTCTTTATCCACCTGTCATCAAGCTTATCCAGAGCAAATTTGGACAATAATTCCAGCACTTGCTGCATCCTGCCTTCCACCGCAGCCATCTTGAATGTTTTGATGTTTGAATATTGGGCGCGCCAGTGTTGCCACATCTGTACCGCCGCCAGTGTTGCCACATCTGTCAGGGGGCGCCAGATCTGTCAGGGGGCGCCAGATCTGTCTAGGGGCGCCAGATCTGTCTAGGGGCGCCAGTGGTGCCAGATCTGTCTAGGGGCGCCAGTGGTGCCAGATCTGTCTAGGGACGCCAGTGGTGCCAGTTCTGTCTAGGGGCGCCAGATCTGTCAGGGGGCGCCAGATCTGTCAGGGGGCGCCAGATCTGTCTAGGGGCGCCAGTGGTGCCAGATCTGTCTAGAGGCGCCAGTGGTGCCAGATCTGTCAGGGGGCGCCAGATCTGTCTAGGAGCGCCAGTGGTGCCAGATCTGTCAGGGGGTGCCAGATCTGTCAGGGGGTGCCAGATCTGTCAGGGGGTGCCAGATCTGTCAGGGGGTGCCAGATCTGTCAGGGGGTGCCAGATCTGTCAGGGGGCGCCAGATCTGTCTAGGGGCGCCAGTGGTGCCAGATCTGTCAGAGGGTGCCAGATCTGTCAGGGGGTGCCAGATCTGTCTAGGGGCGCCAGTGGTGCCAGATCTGTCTAGGGGCGCCAGTGGTGCCAGATCTGTCTAGGGGCGCCAGTGGTGCCAGATCTGTCTAGGGGCGCCAGTGGTGCCAGATCTGTACTCACCTAGTTGTGCTTGCGGGGGTTGAGCTCTGGCTCTCTGGTCCCGCCTCTCAACTGTCAATCAACTGGTGTACAGGTTCCTGAGCCTATTGGGCTCTATCATATCCACACTTGAAACTGTGTATGGAGTCAGCCTCCACCACATCACTGCCTAATGCATTCCATCCGTTAACTATTTTAACACTGAAAAAATTCTTTCTAACGTCTCTGTGGCTCATCTGGGAACTAAGTCTCCACCTGTGTCCCCTTGTTCGTGTTCCACCCGTGCTGAAGAGTTTGTCTTTGTCCACCCTGTCAATCCCCCTGAGAATTTTGTAGGTGGTTATCATGTCTCCCCTTACTCCTCTGTTTTCCAGGGATGTGAGGTTCAGCTCCTTTAGCCTTTCCTCGTAGCTCGTACCTCTCAGTTCCGGGACGAGCCTGGTGGCATACCGCTAAATCTTCTCTAACTTTGTCTTGTGTTTAACTAGGTATGGACTCCAGGCTGGAGCTGCATATTCCAGAATTGGTCTTACATAAGTGGTATACAAGGTCCTGAACGATTCCTTACACAAGTTTCTAAAGGCAGTACTTATGTTGGCCAGTCTAGCATATGCCGCTGATGATATCCTTTTGATGTGGGCCTCTGGGGACAGGTTCGGTGTGATATCAACCCCCAGATCTTTCTCTCTATTTGACTCTTGCAGGATTTCACCTCCCAGATGGTACCTTGTGTTCAGCCTTCTGTTCCCTTCGCCAAATTTCATTACTTTACACTTTCCTGAGTTGAACTTTTACTCCTGCCTGTTGCTCTAACTTTTTTAACAGCCTTTTATGGGGTACTGTGTCAAAGGCTTTCTGACAGTCCAGGAAAATGCATTCTACCCACCCTTCCCTTTCCTGCCTAATTTTTGTTGCCTGGACATAGAATTATATTAAACCTAGAATTTAACCTATTAGAATTAGACCGTTTAAATTCTAGATCTGTCTAGCACCGCCAGTGTTGCCAGACCTGTCTAGGGGCGCCAGTGTTGCCAGATTCGTCTAGTGGCGCCAGTGTTGCCAGACTCGTCTAGCGCAGCCAGTGTTGCCAGACCCGTCTAGCAGCACCAGTGTTGCCAGACTCGTCTAGCGCCGCAAGTGTTGCCAGACCCGTCTAGCAGCACCAGTGTTGCCAGACCCGTCTAGCAGCACCAGTGTTGCCAGACCCGTCTAGCGCCGCCAGTGTTGCCAGACCCGTCTAGCAGCACCAGTGTTGCCAGACCCATCTAGCAGCACCAGTGTTGCCAGACCCGTCTAGCGCCGCCAGTGTTGCCAGACCCGTCTAGCAGCACCAGTGTTGCCAGACCCGTCTAGCAGCACCAGTGTTGCCAGACCCGTCTAGCAGCACCAGTGTTGCCAGACCCGTCTAGCAGCACCAGTGTTGCCAGACCCATCTAGCAGATTCAGATTCAGATTCAGATGTTTATTCAGGTAAGGTATATACATACAAGTGATGTTACATTAATGGATTGATATATAGATAGAGCTAGTACATACAATGCCTAAAGCCACTATTACGCAATGCGTTTCGGGCAAGAAAAAACATTAATATCTAGAACTTAATACTAATTGAGCATAAAGAATAAAAGATGTTGAGAACAAATACAAATAAAGATAAAAAAAAGGGGGAACATGACTGAAAAAGCAGCACAAATACAATAGGTTGACAACACATGGTTGGGAAGGTCATTCCACATTCTGGGCCCCTTGATTTGCAGAGCATTTCTAGTTTGATTAAGACGTACTCTAGGAATATCAAAACTGTATTTATTTCTGGTGTGGTGCTCATGGGTTCTGTTACAACCTTCTATGAAGCTTTTAAGATCAGGATTGGCATTATAGTTTAGCGTTTTATATATGTATACTACACATGAGAGAATGTGCAGTGACTTAATATCTAACATATTCAGAGTTGAGTAGGGGTACCGAGTGATGTCTGGGGCCAGAGTTGGATATTGTCCTAATAGCAGCTTTGTGTTGAGTAATTAGAGGACGTAAGTGATTTTGGGTAGTAGAACCCCAAGCACAAATACCATAGTTGAGATATGGATAGATAAGGGAGTAATAGAGAGTCACCAGAGCAGGGCGTGGTACATAATATCTGATCTTAGAAAGAATGCCCACAGTTTTTGAAACTTTTTTTGATATATTTAGAATGTGTCCCTGGAAATTCAGCTTGTGGTCAATGAGAATGCCAAGGAAGCATTCCAAGCATGCCATTCCAAGCATGCCAAGCAGCACCAGTGTTGCCAGACCCGTCTAGCAGCACCAGTGTTGCCAGACCCGTCTAGTGCCGCCAGTGTTGCCAGACCCGTCTAGTGCCGCCAGTGTTGCCAGACCCATCTAGCAGCACCAGTGTTGCCAGACCCGTCTAGTGCCGCCAGTGTTGCCAGACCCGTCTAGCAGCACCAGTGTTGCCAGACCCGTCTAGTGCCGCCAGTGTTGCCAGACCCATCTAGCAGCACCAGCGTTGCCAGACCCATCTAGTGCCGCCAGTGTTGCCAGACCCATCTAGCAGCACCAGTGTTGCCAGACCCATCTAGTGCCGCCAGTGTTGCCAGACCCATCTAGCAGCACCAGTGTTGACAGACCCGTCTAGCAGCACCAGTGTTGCCAGACCCGTCTAGTGCCGCCAGTGTTGCCAGACCCGTCTAGTGCAGCCAGTGTTGCCAGACCCGTCTAGTGCCGCCAGTGTTGCCAGACCCGTCTAGCAGCACCAGTGTTGCCAGACCCGTCTAGCAGCACCAGTGTTGCCAGACCCGTCTAGTGCCGCCAGTGTTGCCAGACCCGTCTAGTGCCGCCAGTGTTGCCAGACCCATCTAGCAGCACCAGTGTTGCCAGACCCGTCTAGCAGCACCAGTGTTGCCAGACCCATCTAGCAGCACCAGTGTTGCCAGACCCGTCTAGCAGCACCAGTGTTGCCAGACCCGTCTAGCAGCACCAGTGTTGCCAGACCCATCTAGCAGCGCCAGTGTTGCCAGACCCATCTAGCAGCACCAGTGTTGCCAGACCCGTCTAGCAGCACCAGTGTTGCCAGACCCATCTAGTGCCGCCAGTGTTGCCAGACCCGTCTAGCAGCACCAGTGTTGCCAGACCCATCTAGTGCCGCCAGTGTTGCCAGACCCGTCTAGCAGCGCCAGTGTTGCCAGACCCGTCTAGCAGCACCAGTGTTGCCAGACCCATCTAGCAGCACCAGCGTTGCCAGACCCATCTAGTGCCGCCAGTGTTGCCAGACCCATCTAGCAGCACCAGTGTTGCCAGACCCAACTAGTGCCGCCAGTGGTGCCAGACCCATCTAGTGCCGCCAGTGTTGCCAGACCCATCTAGCAGCGCCAGTGGTGCCAGACCCATCTAGCAGCACCAGTGTTGCCAGACCCATCTAGCAGCACCAGTGTTGCCAGACCCATCTAGTGCCGCCAGTGTTGCCAGACCCATCTAGTGCCGCCAGTGTTGCCAGACCCGTCTAGCAGCGCCAGTGTTGCCAGACCCGTCTAGCAGCACCAGTGTTGCCAGACCCATCTAGTGCCGCCAGTGTTGCCAGACCCATCTAGTGCCGCCAGTGTTGCCAGACCCGTCTAGCAGCGCCAGTGTTGCCAGACCCATCTAGCAGCACCAGTGTTGCCAGACCCGTCTAGCAGCACCAGTGTTGCCAGACCCATCTAGCAGCACCAGTGTTGCCAGACCCATCTAGTGCCGCCAGTGTTGCCAGACCCATCTAGCAGCACCAGTGTTGCCAGACCCATCTAGCAGCACCAGTGTTGCCAGACCTGTCTAGCAGCACTATTTTACTGCATTATTCCTTGAAATGATCCTCAAATTATGCCTTAATGAACCAGTTGATAACCCTATTTTATACTAATGTACTTACTAATCTTTGTCATTATTGTGTATTAATCTAATCTTTGTGTATTGTGTCAAATGTTCTTACAATGGTCTTACAATGTTCTTACAATGTTCTTACAATGTTCTTACAATGTTCTTACAATGTTCTTACAATGGTCTTACAATGTTCTTACAATGTTCTTACAATGTTCTTACAATGTTCTTACAATGTTCTTACAATGTTCTTACAATGTGCCTGTAAAAATTTTTGGTCAATTTTGCTGGAAATTACCTACTTAAAATTATCTGATAGAGTAAGGACCTGCCCGAAACGCTATGCGTGTTAGTAGCTTTACCAGAATGTTAAAGTTTCAATGCTATGTACTCTCTTAACCCCCAATGTACCTTCTTGCATATATATAAATAAATAAATAAATAAATTGTACCATTTATTGCATGAGGCTGTAATTTCTTTGCGAGGCTTTCATGTGGCACCTTATCAAAAGCTTCGGCAAATTG